GCACGCGTAGTGGCCTTGACGGGCGCGACCTTCTGAGGTCCAGCGGACTTGCCAGTCGTCTGCTCATCGTCGTCCTGCTTGCCCTTGAGCCTGGTCTTCATCTCCGACAGCGACGAGTCGACGCTGTGCTTCTGCTTGCGACCGGCATCCGCCACCTCCCTCAGCTCCTCCTCTTCGGCGTCGTCGTAGGAGGCGTGCTCCTGCTTGCGGCTCCTCTCCTTGCCGAGCGCGGCCGACTCGTCCTCCTCGTTGCGCGTGCTCTTGCGCTGGGTGGTGGGGTCCTCCGCGTCGTCGTTCTCGCCGCTCATCGCCTGGTTGATGTCCCCGTCCGAGAGTCGCACCCGCTGGATGACTGCATTCCATACCAATCAGTCATTACATTCCTCTAATTTTAAAATATTTAACAATAATATCATAGGAATGCGAGGAATGTAAGAAAGGAGTGGGGCGTACTCTTGGTCTTCTTCATCTTGAGCTCCTTGCGGATGGCGCCGAGGAGCTTGGGGATGAAGGAGTCCTCGAGGGCGTTGCAGACCCGCTGGAAGGAGAGCTTGGCGGTGTCGACGGGCCAGTCCTTGAGGGGCTTGAACTGGAGCGCGACGTTGTAGAGGCGCGACCGCGACCCGGACGAGGTGATGGTCTCCGTCACGGTGAGCTCGGCCACGAGCTCGTTGAGCGTGAGTCGGTAGAGCTCGTCGGCCAGCTTCTGCGCCTCCTTCTGGCCGGCGTGCGCGTGGAGCGGGAGGGTCATCGTGGGCGTCTTGATCTTGTGCGAGGCCGTCATGATGATCTCGCGCAGACGCGGGATACCGAGCGTCACGTTGGCCTCGCCTCGGCCGGCCAAATGGAAGGTGTTGAGGGTCATCTGCGTCGAGGGCTCGCCGATGGACTGCGCGGCCAGCAGGCCTACGGACTCGCCCGGGTCGGCCTGGCAGCGGTGGTAGTACAGGTACATGAGGTCCCTGAACGTAGTCTCCGAGTACTGGACCGACGTGTTCCGCGACTTGGGCTTCTTCTTGTCCTTCTTCTTGCTCTCGAGCGTGCCGTCGGGGTTCGCCGCAATATACTGTTTGTGTGCGTGTGCGGCGTGAGTGCGGTGTGTGTGGTATCCTATACGTGTGTGGTGCTAGAGAAAGTACCTTTTCGAGCTTCTCCTGGTAGCGCTCGGACACGGCACCCAGGTGGAGGAAGGTCTCGAACTCGGATTGGAGCTAGTTCGACGTTGACAGGGAAACGGGTGAGCAAACGCGAACGTGAATGGTGGGGTGTGTGTGGTGCACTTACCGTGGACTCTTCGTTGAGCTTGGCGTTCTTCGCCCGCTTCTTAAGGTACCGCTTGGTGGGCTTGGTCTGAAGCGCTTGTCTGGCCGCCGTCAAGTAATACCTGAATTTGCAAAATAACAATTACATTAATACTAATAAGCAACAATAAACAGAATAAATAATTGAGAGGGCGATTCCGTACTTCTGGACGAGCGCGGGCGTGTTCTTGGAGAGGAAGGAGAAGCGCTCGAGGTGCTTGCTCTTGGTAATGTCGATCGAGTCCTCGCCGTAGTTGAACTGAATCACCGACGCGTCCGAATCGCGCACCGTGGCATCGTAGCACACTCTCAGCGACTCCTGCACACACGCGCACGCGCACGCAACCAGCCCAGCGATATTAGCGAGAG